GCAATATTAATTAGTTAAATATTAAAAAAAATTAAATTTTAAAAATTAATAATATTTAAATTCACATAAAAAATATTACCAGTTTGAGTTCGGGAAAACCTGTGCAGCCAATTTCAAGTAGTAACAAGTGTTTGAACATTTTCATAATAAATGCAACTTCTGTACTTTGTAAGAACACGCCACCAATGCTAAATATTGATTCCGACGGTACAATGGTAATAAGAATGCTAAGTACATCACGCACCATCATTGAAAGATCGGGATATTTTCTAGAATGGTCCTTCCAATACATGACAACATCATCTCTTGAAACTTCTCAAGATCAAGTTTTGGTTCCTCTTAGTAAAGATCCAATTCTGACTTTCTATCTCTAAAGGCAGTATACTTTTTATTTTTATATATTTTAAATAAATATTTTATTAGGCCCACGGGCTGACCCGATTCAGCCTCAATCAAGCCTCACGGGCCACGGGTTTACTCGGGCCGGACTTAAAAACTTCGTTTTTAAATGGGCTCCAAAAATTCTAGCCCACCCTGCTAAATTACTAGCACCTAAAGACTTCGACAAAAATTCCATGTACACTTGTAAATGTTTTCATGAAATAGTAAGATATTAGCATAGGCGCTCGTATCAATCTTTATGACCATTAATAAATTTATAAATATCAAATTTATCTAAAATCATAACTTTTGAACTTATTCGCATATGAAGTCCATACAAAGTGTTTTCAAATACTACAATAACAGGAATATGATTGGGGACCCAAGAACAAAATTAAAGTGAGCTAGCTAGAACTAGTACAAAAGCCTATAGTTCCAATTAATTCAAAAATGCAATATTGCGAATAGGTCTGTTCATTTGGATCGGATATCCGAAATCCGAACCGATTCAGTCAATTTTGAATTTCGGATTTCGGATTGGATCGGATTTCGGATAATGTTTATTAAAATTTTGGATTTCGGATCGGATTTCGGATTGGTATATTTTAATCCAATCCAATCCGAAATCCGAAATTATTAGGACATGTATAAATACTACACTTTAATTTACAGCAACCTCCAAGTTATTACCTTTACAATTGCTAGATTTAGCTATATTGACATCATAGTACTCTCATAATTGCATAAACATGAATTTTTCTTAATGTATTGCCTCTTTTACAAAAAAAAAATATACATATTAGTTTAACTTTGAGGCATAATAATACGATCCGATATCCGATCCGATCCAAACTTTAAAATCCGATCCGATCCGATATAATTCGGATCGGATTTGGATTGCATTTTCTAGAATCTGAAATCCAAATTTCAAATCCGAAATATGCTAAATCGGATCCGATCCGATCCATGCACAACCCTAATTGCGAACCTCTCTTTTCCTCTTTTAGGATTTTCCTTCACTATCATATTAAGTGTATTACTTAATTATGAGTTCGTTGATTTGTAGCAATCAACATATCTTTTGGCTAGACTAGATAAAGATGAAATAAAGAGCATCAATAAAGACTAAAAAGCATCTGAGTTGTTACATTAAGGAATGATTTTATATACTACAGTGCAAACACATGGGAATTGGGGTGTGATACATCCATCATTTATCTATTTTTGCGATGTTGACATTTCTTTTATGATTGAGAAATTTATCTGAAGTCGACCCGAAAGCTAATCGCAGCCTTCGAAGTTGCGGGATGAGCCCGTTCCTCTACCTTTCTCCAGCTAAGTACTAGAATTAGTTCATTTAGTATAGTGTTCGAACCTGTTAAAATAGCACGGTCTAGCCAATTGTCGGATTGATCATTTAAAAAATAGTCAGCGTTTGTCAAGTCATTAAAAAATAGTCATTATTTTGCTGCAACAGAGACCGATCCAGCATAATATACTGGAGTTCGGTGCACCGGTGTATGAACTTTCAGCATATTATGCTAGACCCAGGGGCGAATGCACCGTAGTAGTTATGGGTTCAACTTTCGGCACGAAGTAAAAATTTATATGTAAAAATTCATTAAAATTGTAAAAATAATATATTTGAACCCATAATTTTAAAAATGCAATGGGTTTAGTGTTAAAAATCTTAAAAATTGAACCCATAGAGTTAAATTACGGATTCGCCTTTGGCTGGACCGGTATACTTTGTTGGCTCCAGTATAATATACTGGAGACTGGAGCACCGATGCTCCAAACTCCAGTATATTATGCCAGATCGATCTTATACTAGAACTCCAGTATATTAGACTGGAATTCTAGTATAATATACTGGCTCCAGTATATTATGCTGGAGTATTTTTCTGAATTTTGAACAGTATTTTCGTTCATATTTATCTTCACATAAAAAGTAGCTAAATTTCGATTACTTTTGAAATTATGTCTATTTTTGAATGACTACTTGTAAATCTGGCTATTTTTTAATTTCTCCCCTCGAACCTACGACCTAAGACACAAATCCCTCTGACATAAAATGTACAACACTATGCTTAGTGGGGATTTGATTCACTTAATAAATAACCGAAATAAATAATTATAGTTAATTAAAGAGGAAAAAAAAAGATAAGATTGATCATAACAGAATATAGATCAATCGATTTCAGTTATGATATTGACGGATCATACTGAAAATACACCCTTAATAATTACTTAAGAATATCAAAAAAGATTAAGATAGAGAAATCTCTATAATGAAGTATGGTCTTATGCGCCTAGTCGTCCGAGTTTGGAGATAGGTATCTTAAAAAAGAAAAAGATAGAGCAATCTGTGGTCCAATATTACCAAACATCTTTAAGATTTCCTATTTATGGATTAGTTTTGAGAATGCCCCATTCCTATGGCATGTGCTTTGCAAATTTTTGTTTAGTTTAGGTGAATCTTGCCAAACAAGTCCACCACTAATATATCTTACCTCCAACGTTTATAGTTTAGTGGTACCAATAAGACTCTCCCACATTATACATCAAACAACAATAATAATATACATAGTGTATTCTTATACATAGTGTATTCTTAGACAAGCGGGGGTTGTTCTGATGGTAAGCAACCTCCACTTCCAACCAAGAGGTTGTGAGTTCGAGTCTACCCAAGAGCAAGGTGGGAAGTTCTTGGAGGGAAGGATGCCGAGGGTCTATTTGGAAACAGCCTCTCTACCCCAGGGTAGGGGTAAGGTCTGCGTACACACTACCCTCCTCAGACCCCACTAAGTGGGATTATACTGGGTTATTGTTGTTGTTATTGTTGTATTCTTATAATGTGGGGTCTGAAGAAGGTAGCGTGTACGCACGCCTTATTCCTATCTTGTAGAGGTAGAGGGGTTGTTTCAGATAGACCCACGGACCTTGGCTCAAGTCATTCCCACAGTAGAAATGACGTCAGATAGCCACTTTAAAAGACTGCTATTAAAGAATTAGCTAGTGCGTCTTGAATTTTAGTTTTTCAATTCAATTTTTCAGGACAAAATATGCTGCATTGTCTTGAAGTTGAGATTTTTAATTTAAAATTCTCGCATTATACATATCGGTTCATTTTCACTATCCCCTTCCCTAATCATCCTTTATAATATAAAAAAAGCTTTTAAAAAAGAACGACATATCTTATCCTTTTAACATCATAACCAACAAGGAAAAAGGGGGGAAATACAAAGAATTAAGAAAAGCAGGTGACACCTGCTCAAGTGATTAATTAATACTTGTAGGTAATGGTCAGCTCTAAATTCTTATTTGTCGATTATCTCCCACCATTTTGCTACAAAATATTTATTTATTTTTTAAAAGGAAAGTAGAAAAGTACATCACAAATCTCATATAAAGGCGAAAAGGGGTCTTTCTTGGTTGTTGCATAGAATAGGAAGTGGATGTAGTAGACCAGTAGAAGGGAGTGAGTTGGTCATTAAGCACTTGTTATTATACCACATGACAAGTTGGATCTTCTTACTTTATTTTTTGTTGGATCTTCTTACTTTATTTTTTGTTGTTAATAAAAGGATGCCGGTGGTAAGCTACCTCCACTTCCAACCAAGAGGTTGTGAGTTCGAGTCTTCCCAAGAGCAAGGTGGAAAGTTCTTGGAGGGAAGGATGCCGGTGGTCTATTTGAAAACAACCTCTCTATCCCAGAATAGGGGTAAGATCTGCGTACACACTACTCTCCCCAGACCCCACTAAGTGGGATTATACTGGGTTGTTGTTGTTGTTGTAATAAAAGGATAAGTCCCAATTGGAGCACGTTTCTCTTTTGCTTTGGTCTAATCTTCATCTTATTAATCTGTCTCTTCCACATTTTTTTAGTATCAATGAAATTTCCTCTAAGCTTCTAGTCCGACTCTAGAGAGTACACAAGTTCGAAATTTGGGAAAGTATGGCCCCACCCATCTACCTTTCCCCAACTTAAACACTAAGCTTTGTCCGCGACAAGGTTTAAACTCGTGATGTATGTCTAATCCACACATCATGTCCTTATCACTAAACCAAAGCTCGAGTCAGCGGCGGATGTAGAGTATAGTTACTGGGTTCCCGGGAACTTTTGCGGAGACCCTGTACTTTTATTAAAAAATCTATTAGATATCTATAAATATATAATTGTGAACCAAGTTATTATTGTATATTAATTTGACATTACAATAGGAACCCATAAACTTCAAATTCTGGATCCGCCTCTAGCTCGAGTCAGAAGTCGACAAGTCATGTTCATATTATTTTCAATCAATCTTCAGGAAAAGAATAGCTAGCACGCCTGCACTCACTATCATTGTAAGAAACCATGATAAGTGACTGCACTCAAAGAAAGTTTAATCCCCTTTACTTAGCTCTAATAACATGCATCATTTAGTTTTGGTGCATAAGCCATGACTTTAAGTGCTGCATAAAGTAACTAACCCCAACTGTCAAATAAATTAATTGACTTTACAGAAGACAATAGGATGTTTAATGATTAAACAAATAAGTACTTCTAAAAATAAGCACCTCTAAACACAGATTTGATGTAAAATAATAATAATAACAACAAAATTTAGCTACAATTGAAGTGCAGAAACATAGCTCCTGGCATATCAGCTTGAACATCACACTATTCGAGCCAATGTCTCGTAAGTGTACATGGGAAATCAAAATTTATTACACAAAATATAGCTAGTTTTAATGAGTGACAACTTTGAATTGAATTCGGTAACGATCTGAGACAATACTCAAAAGCAAATCCTAAAAGGTAATGCATTTTTGCAATGATAGCATGTCAAAAGGATGGATTGTGATGATTTTCTACTCTCTTGCATTATAACCCTCTCAGTGAAACAAGTTACCTGTCCATCAGTAGTATCATAAGTCATATCTCACTTTCCATTTCCCACTATTGTTGACATGGAGTGTCCAGTTGTTTTCTCTGATCTGAAAGTAAGGAACCTGAAAAGAAAAAAAGGAGAATCAAACAGAACTTTAAAATGCAGGTAGCATAGTAGGAAGGCCGTTACTTTGTTAAGCTTCCACAATTATCAGCGGGAGAATGTTTGAAAATTTTAGGAAACTTAAATTTGTTGTTTATTGGGTAATAAACATGAATATTAAGTTCCACTCACTTCAATGGGGTTTTGTATTTTTTATATTAGCTCTACAACATCAGCAGGAACATTTATGCAAGCAACATAGACAGTGCACTCTCTAGTATCAGAACTATAACTTTTTTTTTTCTTTTAATAAGTAGTATAAAGCACTATCTTATTATATTCATTTATGAGATGTGAAGGTACAAGAAAATGCCATGCATTGATGAATGAGAGCTAGAGAAGCTCAGGATGGATGGACAATATGCTACTTGCGGATTAGGAAAATAATTTACCTTTTCAACGACTTCATATCCAACTTTGAGCCTAACATCTTGGTCTTTTTTCACATTCATGATGTTCCAAGTAAATTCAGCAGCAACTCTTGATTTTTTCTGGAAGTTCAGAAATAGGCAAAGTATGAAGGTCTTAGTGAGACTGTTACTTCAAAGATTTAAGCAACATGCCAAATGCCAAGATAAAATAAAAATATCAACCAACATGCCGAATTCCACGAAAAAATCAGAATATCAATCAATTATGCCTCAATCCTAAGCTAGTTGGGTTTAGATTTATGGATCTTCTATATCTATTTCTGCTCTTATATTCGGGCCCATATTCCAATGCTGGCAAAGATAGATCATTACAAAGAGAACATCCATAAACTTAATATGATGATACATGGCTTAGTTCAGGAACAATCATAAAACTCCTCGACAGTGGCGGATGTAGTGTTAAAGTGATGGGTTCAATTGAACCCATAACTTTCGACGCGGAGTATAATTTATAAGTAAAAATTCATTGAATTTGCAAAAAATAGTAGATATGAACCCATAACTTTAAAAATATAATGGGTTCAATGCCAAAAATCTTAGATATTGAACTCACAAAGTTTAAATCCTGAATCCGCCTCTGCTCCTCGATGTAGATAACCGTCACAATTTCAGAATTTTCCTCTTCAAGCCAACTTAAGTACATCCACTCAGATTGAAGTACATAAGAGTGAATTAATATGAACATACTCAAAATGCCAATGGGATTACTAGTTCTGACATTTAACACAAACCAAACTCCTTTTTTCTCGCACTGGCTTAGTGCAAGCATTTATAAAATCTTTGATTATTTAGCAAAAAAAAAAAACTCCTTTAATGCGTTGTTTGGGTTAGCTTAGAGTAGATATAACCGAATTCTTGCAAAATTTTATAACAGACAACACTTAGTAAGGGTTTACTCATCTAACCAGCTTCATTTCACATACATGCATAAAATTTGTAGTCTGCCAATGATTGCGTAAAATGACTTTATCAAAAAAAAGAATCAAAATGATCAGATTTTAATCACCAATGGTTTCATTCATGTGCAGACCTCAAAGATTTTGAATGGTTACCAACCTCCACAAGTTTCTCGTCCACATCATACTTGCCCTTGATATGAAAGTGTAGTGACTGTTCATCTGCAGTCACAGGAAATGCCTTCTTACCACGAACATTATACCAGAGCTTTTGACGCCTATAATACTGCACTCCAACAGCGAGGCTGGCATATTGCTACAAGTTCAAAGCATGTCAATTCCCCTAGCTACAGTAACAAAATTTTCATGTAGACAGGCTATTTCAAGTTGAATGTCAAACTTCGCTTATCAAGAGTTGACCATTCTGAAGTGAAATCACAAGATGATTCATTTATTCTATTGACAACATTTCTTTATATATTTAGTTATAGCTTTAAAAATATTAAAAACGTTGGTGAAAATATTATGAAGGTTGAATCTCTTAGAGAGCAAACAAGAACACTCGATTCTAAATGGAGAGAATTCTTCTATTCTTTCCTTTTTCCCCTGTTCTTGGGGTGATGGGAATGGGGGTTAGTTTAATCGAATTGATCCTCAATGACATCTCCATTTCGGCTTGTGCTGGAGCCCAAGCTTCTCTATTCACTACAACGAATCACATGATTGTTCTGTTTCTACACCATTTTTTGAGGTAAAAAAACCTGTGATGATGTCATTAAGCAACTGCTTCATTTTAGTGTATGAAATGAACCCTGGTCTATTCAAAATGCTTACTCTGGTCTCCATCTGGTAAGACAGCGGATATCAAATCAAAGCTGGTGACTTGTCAGTGTCACCCTATGTGAACTGAACGCTAAGAATGAATAGAATGTGGAACAGTTGGCCCTAATTATTTGTTTGTGGTCGATGTTGAAGGTAAGGGACAGTATCACGAGAAATCCGCGCCGGGCCAATCCTTAGGACCAACCGCAGCATTTGAAACTCGTGGGTCCCTCCATCTACCTCCTCCACTTAAATATCAAGCTTAGTTCACATGGTGCAGGGCTCGAACGTGTGACCTAAGGCACAAATCCCTCAACCTTTTCCGCTTGAGCCCTGGAGGCAGCCAAGTTGGCTTTTTGGTGATAAGTTAGTCATAAAAATTTGATCATTCTATAGACTCAATACATGTTTAGTTAGACTTCTCGGATTGCTCATAGCTTAAAATGTACCTACATATAAAAGTAACAAAATTGTTGTAGAAAGGGCTGGAACATACATCAGGAAAGTATCGCCTTATCATTCCACTCAGATAAGTTGGAGCTCCAATTCTGGTGTCTAGTTCTGCATGACCCTGCAAATAAACGGAAAACCCACGCGATAAAGGGACAATAGGAATCTTCTCAAAAAACTTATAAAACAGAGTAGGGTTATAAAAAGAACCAACAGCTCAAAATGACCCATCAAAGCTCACTCCACTTAAATTTTACCTCAGCGTGAAATACTCATATCTAAATATGTAAAACAAATACAGCAAAATCAGTTTACCTTTAGCGAATTATACCATAAATAAAGTACACCTCAATAGTAAATGGTTAATACCTGTAAGTGGGTGAGGGAGTTGAGGGGAAATTTCTCCTTGGCATGAATCACCAAACTCTTGGAATCCACGCCATAACGAAGTGACGTCTCCATTTTCCCTGTCAAATGTAGTGTGATTCTGTAGGAGAATTCCCGCTCCCCAACTGGTTAAAGTTAAACCCTAGATATATATGTTTGCTTATAACAGTTTGCTTCAGCCTGCAGAAATGGATAACCAGTGTCCAGTAGTGTAGCCTCTATTAAACAGTGATAGACTTACTTTGGATTTTTTTACTTTTTTGCCTCAATTGTTTTTCTTTTTCACTTACTAGTACCATTACCTTACCAATGTTGCTTTTTATACAATTTATACAGACCAAAATGTAATTTAGTGTTATTTTTGTTGACTTTTTTTGGGAATTTCTTAAGTGACGTTTGTTTCACATAAAGTTGAACAAAAATTTCAATATTTTTTTAATCAAACATCATTAGAAAGAAGTCTTCTAATTTTTGTAAAACTCAAAATTTCAAAAATAAGCATACACCAAACATTGACATAGCATTGTAACTGGGACATTTTTAGAGAGGTATAGTCGGACTCCTCTCTTATCTTATTGAATGAATGAAACTTGAGCTATAGTACCCATGCCTCCCAAAATTTTGATTAGGCATAAGTTAATAGTATGACAAAAGAATACATTTATTTATTTTTTTGAAAGAGGCAAATAAATCCACCCTTCATAATTTCTTGCATACACCCCATCCTCTCCAGACCATACTTATGCGATCACACCGGCTACGTTGTTGTTGTTATAGAAACAACAAAAAGGTTGTTAAAATTTTGTAAACTGCTATCATCACTAGAAGTTTAGGACTTCATAATAATTCAATAACTTACTACTAAAGTTATACTAATGTGAGCCGAATTACACTAGAAAAACATAAAGTGAAGTGAAGTGCTCCATAGATATGAAAAACAGTTATCTAAGCTAATTCATTTTACTGTCTAACCAAGAAGCTTCGGCAGCCCACGGGTGACAACCTACAAGGCTACAACTACGAAGTAATTCAATTGCTCAGCATGTAGCTGAATCAACTAAATTCTGAAATTGAACTCTCGTTCTCACTGTTCACCTCGCAACAAAAATTTGACCCAATATTGACTACAAGAACCATTACATTGGTTTAATGGATCAAAGTTGTTTGCACTGTAATTATATCTCATCAATTACTTCCAGAAGATCATCAACTTCCTGTCTCAAGGCTGTGATCTTTTGCTGGATTGGTGCAATACGGTTCTCAATGTCCCTCCCACCAGACTTCTTTTCATAACTATCTGTAACTGTGGTGTGTTTCACTATAAGCTTCTCTTGCAGCTCTTTCTCCTTTGCAACCAGCTCCTCGACCTTCATAAAACAGCCGGAGAGTTTTAGTACCAGCGAATTAAACACCACAAAGTTGTCATTGCAAAATGAAATAACATAAACTTGAAGTTCTCAGTGATAATAATTCTCACTTTAGCCATTACGAAATAACCATCGGCAAGAACAGAATAGATAGACACGAACCTTGGAATATAATGAAGCAGCCAGTGGAGAAGACTGCAAAAATGAGAGTAAAGGCTTCAAATCCTTTGAAAGCTCCTTCAACATATTATCAGCTGATTTACGAGCAGCTTTGCATGCTTGCACATCACCGGTCCTTGATAGATCTCGCAATGATGCTTCAAGTTTATCGTGAATACCCAAACAATGGTTCATTATGCTCTGGATCTGCTGAAGAGCACTCTGTACCTGAAAATACCGAAGAAAAATTATAAGTTACTTCCTGTACTATTGACACGAAAAGTAGTTATACTAACTAGCTTACCTCATCCCACTGCAGTTTTGCAAGATAAGAAGGAGAGGACTTCGAGATTGTCAAGTCTGCATGCATATATACGATACATGCAACGAATAAGAAGAAAAATCCAGAAATTAACATCATTGGTTCCCTGAGCAGTGACAGATTGCTGAACCTGTAATAGACCTGTTATCATAGCTTCATCTGTCAGTACCTACATAAAATGTACCAAGAAAATACTAGGAAGGAGGGGAAAAAATGTTTGCCAGATCAGGACACAAACTTTCCCGCATGGCAAGTAAACTACAAACCTATACAAGGGATGTCATTAAAACCTCAGAATGGTGAGAAAAGCATTACTTATAATTGTTTCCAATCCCTTATGAAAATCACCACACAAAAAAAGGAAAAGAAAGAAGTTATGGTGACAACAACAAGATCCCAAGCACATTGAGCTGGCCAATCCTTGTTCTTATCTGATTTCTGAAGACTTCTTTCAGCCATGAAAAAACCTGAGCAGAGACCTGAACTTTCCATCATTAAGGTAAAATAACCAAGAAGAGATCTTGATGTCATGATGATTGGTTTAACTAAGCAGTACTGGGTTATTCTTATTGATCCAAATGGCAGAGGAATCTTAAACAACCCATAATAAACAATTAGCCCAACCTTTTAAATCAGAGTGAAAGATGTAAGTCTAATTTACAAATTTTGTTTAACTTATACCGGTATACTCCAACATGTTACATCATTGTGAGTAGCAATATGCCTATCAAACTGATAGGTTACATATCATAGTTGATATTAGGGAAAAGATGCAGTAGGGTCTTAGCTTATGCTCTGAATTTAATGAGATAAGTTGCAATATGAGTCTTACAATTTGGGTTTGTCACTAAACCATAGCTTTAAGTGGTTCTTATTACAATATTCCATTGTTTTTTCTTCTGAAGAATGAAAATTATTTGTACTAATTAACTTGATCCAACACAAATATGCCCCGGTTAGCATGTGAAAAAGCCATATACAAAGCAAACATATCTTGGAAGGCTTGTTTTGACTGGATATGACACATAATTACAAGCCTGCCATCTGATATGCTATAACTCCATTCATAGAGATATCACACCCATTTCTGTAGCCATTGTAATTAGCTTTTTGTTCTGCAATAGACCAGCAGTCGAGATTTCCCTGGGGATCTTACTGTCAGTAAAATCACACTGTAATTTTCTTTCTAGTCTTTTCTACTTCTTCTTTTCCCTTTATTGTTTTTTTTTTGTGTGTGTGTGTGTGTGTGTGTGTTGGTGGTGGGAGTAATTAAGTTGAGTCTAGAAACTTTTTTTATTTGGGACAACATAAAATTTTAGGAGTAATATGTTCCAGTTAAATGTTAGTTGTACTGTCAATTTTAATACGTTACATATATCGAACTTACGTGCCAAATTTTAATAAAATTGTCACATTAAATTAAATAAAGAGCATTAACTTTGTGTATTGATAACAACATGTGAATACAGAAAATAAAGATTATGTAACATTTAAAAACATATTTAATTTTTTTAAAATACATAGGAGTAACACAAGGAGGAATGGAGGGAAAAACATATTCTTTTGCTATTACTCCAATCTCATGGATTTGGANGGGGGGGGGGGGGGGAAGGTGGGTCATTCTTCTTTAGTACTAAGCTCTTTGCTCTCTCATTCAACCAAAGAGTTGAATCTTAAATACAAAAGGCTTGTTTGGATGATCGAGCTCAGGCACAGCTCAACTGCCATCACTTAACCTACCTTTCAGATTGAACCAAACCCAATCCTTATTTTTTAGGCTCGATCAAACTGAACTATTCTTGCTATTGTTTATTTATTGCATCCTTTTCAGTGTTCTTGAGCCGAGGGTCGGATAGACCTCTCTACATTCATAAGGTAGAGGTAAGGTCTGCGTACATATTACCCTCCCCAGACTCCACTTGTGGTATTTCACTGGGTTTGTTGTTGTTGTTGATCAAACTGAACTATTCTACGCCAGTTAACTCATGCCCAAAATGGGCTTTGCTTTGCTTGGCCTGTATGAGATGCTTCTCACATACAGTTCTTTCAATAGTATTGTAGATGCACTTGTATACCTGGAAATATTGGTTATGCTCAGGCACAGCATTGGTTTTTTCCAAAGCAACTACTGGTCTGCCAATCATATCCAAATGGGAAAATTTCGTCTGCAAATAAAGCATAAAAAGTATAAGTTAGAGGAATAAAGGTTATGATACAAAAGGAACTTCAGAGGGGATAACTAATATTTAGTCATACCTCTCTTGACTCTTTGACAGAAAAAGGAACCGAGACAGAAATATCTTTTGAACCTTCTGGAAGAATAACCTGTTCTCCACAAAACAATACCATAGTTATCTTGAAGAATTTTTCAAGAAAAGAAAATCAAGGCATTTACATGCAATTAGCAGACACCCGACAAAATTGCAGACACCCGACATACACAATGACCCAACAGTCAGCAGTTAGTTAAGATATCTAACTTCGTGGATCTTTTTGATAAGTATCTAGTTCTACAGATTACTTCCAGCTTAAAATGAAATCTAAATGAATTATTTAGTGTGGTTATCCTAGAATAAAGATAGAAAAATTTTCACCCCCTCCCCCCTACCAAAGGAATTACAAAATAAATAAATAAATGTAGTAGAACACTATTGGTCAAGCAATCAATTAAGAGACCTGTCAGTTCTACTAGGCTGATGTGCTCCCTGCTTACTCACTGGCCATGATCTTCTTTTTTCTTTTGTGGTTCCTATCTTTTCTTCTGAAAAAGGCTAGTTGCTCATTATAACAAAGACTAGAATTGGTAGCCTTGCCAAATCGATAAGCCCATACTTCATGTGTCTCAAAACACTGCATGCATGCTTCTTTTTTTATTTCTAATAGATAAGAACACCGCATGTATGCTTCTTAGCCTTAGATGTTCTCGGTGGCATATAAAACAAACTATAGCATACCAAGAGCAGAAAACCAGTTCTCTCTAGCAAAAGATTTAGAAAATTAACCTTCCAACCAGTAAATGATCAAGCACAAGTGCACACCTGCCCAAAATTTTCTTTCTCCTTTTTCTCAAATTTTTGGTCCCAAAAGCATTCAGTTGCCGACCTAAAATAATAGGTAAAGGTGTTTCTCCAGCAGCTTAAACTTATATGACGTGGTTCTTATAATCAGCACAGCATCATAGCCAGGCAAAGATTCTGGGTTCGTGCCTCAATGCCACCCATTAACAAAAAATATTTCCATTTGCTTGGCCATAGGGGAAAAAACTTGCTCGTAAAGGGAATGTCACAAACCTAAAAAAAAAAACTAAAAATTTCACCTCTACATGGCTTAAGCTGAGATGAGGTGATTCACACAACTTAACACATACTTTTCCACCACTCAAAGAATCCCATACAATCACACTATAGCATAAGCCCGTTGCAAGAAATATCATAATCTTCTAAAGAATTCATGTTTTAGATTCTTGTGATAACACTGAATCACACCATGAAAGATACGGAACTAAAGCCTTTATTCAGATCTTATAAAAATTACCTTCACAACGAGGTTGTCAACTACCACCTCATCCATTGGGCAACCGAAAGATATATTTAGGAAACGTTTTCCCTCTGCACGGAACAAATAGTCCTTAAGGGGAAGCCCATAGCCGATGGTAAAAGAAGTTCTCCAGCCACCAAACATTGGATACCTAGGTTCAATTTCTAGTAATGTCTGCAAACAGAGAGCATAGTATTAAAGCTAGAAACTAGCTACATGAGATCTTCAGAAAGCATGTCATGTTCTAACCTTTGACGAGTCACCCCATATATTAGATGTTGATATGTTGCCAATTTCATCTCTGTAGTAAATGGAATGGGCTCTTGGAGGCAATTTGGCAACAAGATGTCTAAATGATGATGCACCTCTGAGATGTGGCCGGGCCTGGTACTCTAGCCTGTGATGTTAAAAGTGGAAGATTAAGGCTTCCAGGTCTCAATAATTCTTAAGCTTAATCAGGAAATATGATAGTACCTTGAGAACTCCCCAATGCTTGTTGCACCAGCATTGACAAGGTTGTAATGCTCTGTGATCTGAACATTTCCCCAATGAGAAATTTCTATCTCTCGCACCAACTCCTGGGCAACTGCGAATGGCTTATTGCTCACAAAGTGTACT